GAGAACAATTACCTCCTTATGATTGATTTAAATTTGTTTCAAGTATTTTGTAATAATATTTAATCAGCAATTTAGATAATTTGGTTTTTGCCGGTTTTTACCAGTTTTTGACGGTTTTTAACAGGTTTTTGCCACTGTCCTGGCAAAAAACCCTTTTTGCCGGAAAAAACTCCAACCCTGAGAAAGAACAACGTTGTCACGTGGTTTTCGAAACAATCCCCTAATAATAAATTATAAAATAATTATCAGTTATAGGAAACGTGTGTTGGCGATTGTTTACCCAAGTTGTCACCAACATAAATAAGGCGAACTTTACTCCATTGTTCCTGTAACAAATTAGTACCATTAAAAGAACATAAACAACTGAAATACATAGCTGAATGTATAACTGATTAATTGCATTACTAAAAAGAGAATGTATTACTTTGAAATCATTTGGATGATTTTTCCTAATTTCTTCAGAAACATATCTATATACTGTAGCTCCACCATTACTGAAAGTATGAAAGAATATAGGGTGCTTGTCAAATTTCATATCAAACAGAAGATTAATGACATTTCCAGCAAGGTTAATGATCTTCTTTTCATCAAGAACACGGGGAGAAATGATATTGGGTGAAGCTATGTAACGAATTGTAGTGCATCTGAAATAGAACATAGTTTAACATAGGAGTCCTTCAAATATTCTGTAACAGAACTAAGTTTAACTTTAGAGAATTGTAAACCAAATTCAAATGAAGATTTATTACTATATTAACAATTTCAATAAGAAATTGTAATGTTATACTTATTAATTTTTCAAAAAAAACAAACATTGGATTTGATTTTTAGAGATTTTTAACATGACAAAACTTGACATGACAAGTTTCTGATACTAGTTCTTGACGGCAAAAACAAATCCTGTTTTCAATCAATCATTTATTATGAAATACTAATTTATTGATAAGAAATAAAATAACAATTTGAATAAGTAGGGAATGAAACATTAATTATAAAAATTCAATTTAATTACTTCACTTTTTCATTTAAAATAAAATTATTTAACCTTTAAAATTAAAACAGACGGTAGTAATATGTTTAAAACTTCTCTTATTTACTGATTGGACAAAACAGTAATAAAGGTAAGTTAACATAATTTCATTTACACTATTATTTATTCACAGTGTTTTGAAGATTTTGATGGAATTGGTTTCTTCTTTAAGAGTTTACAATGGAATCAGAACACCATTTTTAATAAAATTTCTTATCTAGAATATAAATATTTAAAAGTTAATTTTCTATGAAAAAAATATCAATTATAAAATTGAAAATAGTGAAAAGTATAGGAAAGAAACTAAAAATTTTCACTGACTTTGTCATTAACCAGATTTTGTTGTATCTAATTCCTCATTTTAGAAGTGTCATAATCGTTTCAAAGGCCAGAATTAATAAAAAGTTCATACATAAAATTAAAAGTATGAACACCAATTGAATTTTAAATCACAGTTATTATAAAGTTGTTGTTTTTTTTTAAAATTTATACGGTTTTAACAATCTAATGTTACAGCAGTGTTAGTGGATTTGTAGCGCCAACTACAATCGCTAAGGTGCCAAATAGATTTTAAATTTTGTTTTTAAAAAAAATTATGTTTTTTTTAGGCTAGGAGTTATACCTTTAGAGTTGGTTCCTTTCTGTAATATTTTTTTAAATTTTTTTTAAGGTTTTTCGCGGGCCACTGCTTGGAAGCTGCCAAGTCTTGACGATTATTCTGCCACAGATCAAAATAATTAAACCTCCCCAAATGGTTATGTTTAAGATTTCTGACAATTTGTATTCTAACTAATACAACAATGGTAGAAAAATTCACTAACTATTTATTCCGAATGCTTGAATACTTCTATATCAGTATATTTACAAATTATAAAAAAATTTTTAGAATAGGATCATCAAGAAAATTAAAAGAAATACTAAGGTGTGAATTTTGATGAAATTTCATTTCAGAAATTTTCAAAAATGCATATTAGATTAATCTAAAATTCTATATTTATTTAAATTACATAATATAAAAGCAAAAGAATTTATCTTTTGCGAAACAGTGTATTGAAACACAACAAAAATCATGAATCAAAGTACAAATGCATGCAAGCTTATTTATAATACATTTCTGAAAATTCTATTTTTAAGTAACTGGAAACAATTGAATTGAACTTATGAAAACATTCTTTAAGCTTTTAAGTAATTTTATTCCTTATAATAATTCAAAACAAATAAGTATTATCATTATCACCCTTTTTTCTGATAAATTTCACTATATTTTGCTAAATATCTATCAACACAACCGGCCCAGCCAAATAAAATAACTACTGGCTCTCTTTTAACAACAGGTTCTGCGATAACAGGAAATGTAACGTAATATTCGAAATCATCATCCATTCTAAATTTATTTAAGGACAATTGAAACTGTCCACAAATATAAATATCCCGAGGCTATGGTGATGTGTTGAGCGTAACACCGGTTAGTTTTGTTTTTGAGAGAACAGGAAAAGGAATTTCGAATTGCAACAAACCGATTACGATTATTTACTTTTTACATTTAGATTAAATAAAGCTGAACTAGATCGTTCAGTGATCTGAAAGTGAGTGCCTCGGTAGCCCAGTAACCAGTGAGTTTTTTTCTTTTTCTTTAAATTAAACGTAGGCTTTTTCCTTTTAGTCTGACTCTAATGCTTACTGCATTGTATGGTACTTTTCACTTACGTCACTCTAGAGCTGCACAATGGGCTATTGGCCACTGTCTGGGAAACATTTGTGAGGATGATCCGAAGACAGCAAACATACGCCACATCCCGTTTTAAAGGGGAAGACACATTCACACACCTTTCATCCATCCACAGATCATAATTTATACTTGAATCAGAGCACGATCAACCTCCGTTCCAGTACCCCCAAAAGTATTGATTTGTTATGGGAACTTGGCTGACTTTGTGACTCCGATAGATATAGAGTGCACCAGTCACTATTTTGTACACAGGGAATCTTCGGTCTGCGAAGATTGAACTCATGATCTGTCGACTCTCGGACACTGGCCTAAGTCCCTACTAGCCGGGCTATCCCGACCTGGGGTTAATGTAATTGTCATTTTAAATTTTTGTATGAACCGGTTGACGCAGGGACGAAGATACATTTAATTAATTTCAATCGTAACTACCTTTCAAATTAATTACTTTATTATTAACCAACTAATAGATTTCTACTAAATTATGATGTTTAGAAATTATTTAATTAAAAAAAAATCAGTACTAGCCATCTTTCAAAATTATCTTTGTACAACATTTAACGTTTACCCCTCTTTCAATCCTGGTGGGTTAATTAGTCTTAAACAATATATTAACCCATTTTTTTTCCATCGTGTGGTTGCTGCCGTACCTTTGTTCTCCCTTAAGAATTCGGAATTTAATTTCAACTATTTCCACGATTTCCGCGATTATTGTCAAAGTTCTCTATCACGTGATTGAATTTTAGTAATAATTAAAAATCTGTCCGGCAGCCATTAATCAGGCAAACCACCTTAAGGCGGTCCTAAAGTGGATTCTAGCCTCAAACTTGANAAAAAATCGAATTTGAGATTTTGATCAATAATTAAACTAGAAACTATTAGCTTTCTAACGATATATTGCTTTTGTTTGAAATCCAGGTAGAAGTGCACTTAAACTTAATTTAAAAAATGTAAACAAACCGAAAACACCTATGCCACGCCCACTTTTGACAGACGATTTCGTAAACATTATAATGTCCATTATTTTTTGCATGTGCTATTACCAAGAAATTTAAAAAAATTTTATAATTTCAACTTTACAATATCTTTAGTTGATTGTAACTTTAACTGGATTATTTGTTTGTTCTTTATTTCCATGCGATTTTCGAGAATTTTGAATATAAAACTGAGATTTACATTTGTTTGATTTGTTAAGTCTATTTTTGTTTTGTTCTTTTATTATACTGTTATTAGGTCATTATTTTTACGTTTTTGTTTACTTACGTAAAAGAGAAGAAAATAAAGTACTGAAATGCAAAAAAAAACGTTGCTTATGGACCAGGATTGTTTTGAAACTGTCATTACCGGCATAGATTAGGAATTTCGTTTACATTATTCGAATTTACCTTGGACCGGATTTTTTTTTCTCCCTAATTTCTAGTTACATCATTTTGATTTTTTGTTTAAATGTTCTTTACATAATATTTCTAATTTTGAAGTAAATTCTTATTTACAGTTCTTTGTTAATTATTTCTGTGTTTAGAATGTTTATCTTGAAATATGCATTTTCTTAGATTTTTTTTGTAATATAGTTATTTTTTTTAACAAAAATACTTTTAACTCATTTAAATTTAAACAAAACATCTTGGTAAAGACTTGAATATTCAATTTTCATGAATAAAATTTATGGGTGATTTATGAA